GAAGTTGTTGCAGCTGTAGTTGCCGCGGCTGTTGTTGCAGCTGTGGTTGTCGCGGAAGTTGTCGGGACAGTCGTACTAATCGTTGTTGTCGCTGTCACCGTTCCTGTGATAGTCGTACCCATTGTTGTAAGTATCGCTGCTACAACAAGAAGCGGAATGTGAAATTACTTTATTTTATTTGTATTGCTTTGAGAAGGACATATTCATTTGACAAGTATTTATCGTTATTTGGCGTAAACTGAAGGATGTGGGTATAAATGAAAATATTGATGTGAGTTAGGCTCTTATCTTTATCGATAGATCCCATTTTCATACGCTTAAATAAACCTACAAACTCACACTTTTGCATCAATGTTCTTTAGCTTGTATCATTCATTTAGTAACGATATGCAGAATTTTAAACTGTCTGGAAATCGGAAATTATCAAGTCATCAAGCAATCGCTAGCTACTGTTGGGTCAATTTGTCGCAAGGTATTTTGTGACAGCTATTTCGTCCTGGCCAATTTGTAGCATGTAAAATAAGCTACAACCTATTATCTACAATTACGAGTGCTATTATAGGTAGACATGAGCATCTATGAGTGCGTATGAGCTAGCGTAACTCAGCGGGAACCACTAGTAAGGAGCGCAAGTGCGTATGCTTGAGACAGGATGATTGGGAGTAGGCGTGAGTGAGGATGGATGCTGTGGCATTAGTGGATGGTTGTTGGGATGAAGTCTGAGACGTGAACCATACCCTATTCAAATTGAGAGAAGTTCATTTACCCCCGCTCACCGTGGCCATACCCTCTCTCGCTTTAGCTCACTACTCTATATTCTTGGTCTATAATGGTGGTCACATTTAGTCCTCCTGACTCATGTCTACTTACGGAGCTTGTGCTAGCCAAGCTGATCATTCCCGCGTATAAAATAGCTTGAAGCTTATCTTACATAGGATAAATTACTTGTGAAGAGGTCTTGAAATGAATTAATTGGCCATACAATAATCTCACCGGATCCTGCTTTAGTCGGTTATTCTCGGCTGTTAAGAACTCAACTTCTCTTACGGCTCTCTGCTCGGTACTATCCAGAAGCACACATATAAAGTCAAATTCTAATAATTTCGCAATACAGCTGCAGTTATTCATTTCTGGGTATCATTATTCTATTATCTTTAATGCGTGATCATGTCATGGTAGTGAATTTTAGGAATCGGAAATTCTACCATGCACTCTGACTTAGTGATAAATGAATTGCTCTCGAAAGGAAATGATGGAAAAATTTCGATGGATTATTGAGGATATGGATGGACAAGTGGATGAAGAGAAGAGACTCATACTCACCCATCATTTGAAGTTCGATTTGTGGATGTGAGTGGTGGCTATAAGTGTTGAGCTAACCCCCATTCACAACTACTTTCACAACCATACTCTCAGATGTCCTGAAGCTGTCTTTCTGGATCACTCAATATGGTAATTGACGAAAAACATCAGTTTCACACGTTTGTATAAGACTGCATAGTGCAATTGATGGATGAAAATCAAGGGTATAGAGTCCTAGAATTTTGATCGGCCTACACTATTTGGATCTAATATTTTCTATTCATACCTAACTTGTGTCGACCTTTCTGCTACTAAAATGTATGGGTAATCGTGTGGTGAGAAAAATAGTGACTGTTGATATTACTTTTCGATTTTAGATTGATCGTGTGTTTTACAACTGTTCATCGTAAGTCTATGTTTGAACGACGCAAGGATTGAGAATCGGCTTTAATCGGTAGTACACAATTGCTAGTGATTGCGAGCACAGCAGTGAAGAATAAACAATATGTCGAAAATGATAGCAGAAAACTACGTAATTGCAATTTTTTGAACATACTAAATCTCATGAGAGTTATGTTTGTTAAAGACATTAAGTATGTACTTGTAACCCAGATCAATAATTATTGGATATATCGAACTTTAACCTGAAAAATGAATACTGAACATTTCAACAACTTTATGTCCGACAAGGCTTACACTGTGACAATATTAGGAGTGCTTAGCTTCTATTATATATATTAGAAGTTTCAGTTCGAAGAAACATTGCAGAACTGGAAGAAAGAAGACTTATTATCCTAGCAACATTTTTCAATAGAACTCGAAAAGTCGATATCTTCACTCTTGAAGCCTATGCACACACAAATCGTGATTCAGTTAGATTACTCTCGTGGTTTGACACATATTTCCAAAATATAAATTTAAAAACAACGAAGTGCCTTGAGTAATTTCCAGTATGGATGAGAGAAAATGCTGTTTGCCACATGTCTTTGAGCCAAATAAACAAATCAAACACAACGCAGTAAAAGGAAGACTTTAGTCTACAAAACATCTTTCAAATTGAGAGACATAGAAACAGAAATGAATGGCTTGCTGTTCCAGACTCTAACTTTTTGGTATAAGGAGCATTTCATTTAGATAAAACATGCGGTTGATCGAAAGCAAATTATTCATATGTACTAAGTTTTACTGAAAACTTTCATATGTGCATTACTATCATAGATCGTTAAATAAGTATCTCTGATTATATATTCGAAATGGCTTCTCAAGCATGTTGAAATATGTACAATGACTAGATTTCTCTCAAGAATACTTACAACACTATATATGAACCTTTTGCATCTCTCATTAGTAAACAGTGAAGAAACTCAATCTGAAATGGTGCACAGTTCGTGATGTAAACCTATTCTTAACTGAAATGAAGAAACGCATCAAAGAAATTTTCAACAGAATTCCGATTCAATCAAATTTTCTGCATCAATCACGACGAATATGGCAGGCTGAAAAGTCCAAATCTCCAATGCAAAATATAATTTTTCCAAAGGTTTGTTTGGATACTATTTTTGTTTTTCATCGATAAACTGTCGAACTTCTGTGTTGTATACACAGAATTAATCCCTGACTTCTGCTTTTATTTTTAACATAGGTGTGCTCGTCAAAATGTGATTAAATGACTTCGAGGAGTTTTCGTGAAAACTCAATTAAACATCGACTCAGGAGATATAGAGATATAGGAGACATAGTAAACAGTTATTTATTTATTATGATTAATTTTTCCGAGCAAGGGTCGGTAAGTTGCATGAATATATTTGAATGGATCGCTATTAAAAATCAAGCACTATATAAAGATTATCTGCACTAGTTAATCAATATCTTCAATATCTCCTCCGTCGGTGTTTAATTGAGTTTTCAAGGAAACTCTCCGAAGACATCATATGCAAAATATTACCTGTTGTTTGAGTAGTTGAAGCACTCGACATTGTTTGACTCACTAGTACAGCTATTGTTGTACTTGTGGTTGATGAAGTGTTGCGTGTAGTGAGAATGACCGCTGGTGGAACTATCGCTGCACAGGCCACAACAGTTGCTAACAAAATTGTCACTCCACGTGTGATCCACGTTGACTGTTTGTTACTTAAAGACATAAATTTTCTTCAATAATGAATTTCGCATCAAAAAGGTACTTACATTATTGAAGATTTACTTCCGACATCCGGTACATCATCCAAGTTGACTTTGATACCACTCGATGTTCGAGTATTAGAGGAGGTTTCTGGGAGCAACGAAGGCACGACTTCTAGTAAATCTATTGCAACTGTTGGCATTTCACTTGCTGCCATTTGTAATATAAAATAACAAATAAAAATAGTATTCAACTAGCAAGATAAGCAGATTTCATTCCTGGAGAACTATAGTCCGAACAATTAAAAGTACGTCTTCAAATTTTACTTTTTTTAATTTCATGATGATGTGTTGTTTTGTTTTTATATATACTATAGACTGATATGGATTGGTCATATATTTACTATTATAATGCTATTGTGGTCCTCTACCTATATTGTATATCTTGAATTTTTATCTTTGTATATACAATTTCAACTGTAGTGATTTTCAACATTTGATTTTCATTTGCATATTATGCATTGTTTCACATATTTTTTTACCGTATACATACATGACACTATGTACTAATATATTGCGGGATAAATTATTATATTACGCTTTCTTTCTTGTATTATGACATATAGAGCTCAACTGAAGGTATAGTAGCTATGATCTCTCTATGCGAACAGGTCAACTCTGTATGTCATAATACAAGAAAGAAAGCGTAATATAACAATTTATCCCGCAATATATTAGTACATAGTGTCATGTATATATACGACTAAAAAAAATGTGTAAAATAAAGTGTAATATGCAAATGAAAACTAAATGTTGAAAATCACTACAGTTGAAATTATACTCACATATATACACAAAGATAAAAATCCAAGATATACGGTATAGGTAGAAGACCACTATAGGATTATAATAGTAAATATATGACCAATCCGTATCAATCTATAGTATATATAAAAACAAAACAACATATCATCATGAAATTTAAAAAAAGTGAAATTTAAAGACGTACCTTTAATTGTTCGAACTATAGTTATGTAACATAAACGACATCCCACGATTTGTATCGTTTCTTTTTCAGGTACTCATAGTTCTATACAGATTGTTTGTTGTTCTTTTTTACGAAAATATGCATGCAATAAGAAACTTTCATACTTTTACTTTTTCTTTTTGTCAGCCGCTCATATTGTTTTTTTCATCAATCAAAGTTTACCTACTCTTAAAACTAAAAGTATTTCAAGTGTTCCTCAAACAGTTACATGTTTATTAGTTATATTGATCATTCTCACTCACCATTATAAGCTTGTTTCAGTAACTATGATATATATAAAGTTTGATTGGATTCTTTTTCACACTGCAAATGGAAACTCGAACATGTTACATTTGCAGTGGCCGGAGTGCTTTATTAAAACTCGATGTTGATTGCCTCAATTATTTGTTTCTTTTCTTTCTGAAAACAATTGAATGAGGCAACGAGCATGTTTTAGAAGAACCGATACGTAAATAATGTAAAAGCAATATTTTTCTTAGGTATAAAAAGTCACACATACACTCATATAGCTCCTTGCAGACATCTGCTTCTGCAGTAGAGGAAAGCTCAGAGTTTTTATTTTGTATAACAAACATTCACAAAAATATATCATGAGCTATTACTATTGGCTTCAATAAAAAAATCTGGTCTTATACAAATTTTAAAATAAATTATGTATTTGTATAACAATTTTAACTCGTTGAATATGTTGTTCTATTCAAAACGAATTAAGTTAGGAATATTCCTCTATAATTCGCAAAAAAAAGTTGTCTAATTAGATAGAACATGATGACTTTATGATGATTTTCTTTTTTTATTGAAGCCAATAGTAATAGCTCATGACATATATTTGTGAATGTTTCTCTTATGAAAAAGAAATTCTGAACTCTTCTTTAGCACAGAAAAAATAATTAACTCCATAGAGTGTAACATAGTGGAAATATTCAAATTTTTATCGTACCACTACTTATGGATCACCCTGTTTAATTCAAGAATACATCATTTGCAGAATGATAACTTCGGAATTTCACTCTCCTAGTATTTCTTTCTTTAGTCAAAACTTATCTTTATGGCGCAATATATGATGTCTTTACAGAACGAAATTTTCAACTTTTTTTTATTTCTTGACCAAAATGATCCTCTTTTCTTTATATCTATGCCAAAAATGTTTTCACAAACGTTTGAAAGGATGAAATCATCTCTAAAACTTTGAAAAAAATGATGAAATTTAATAGGGTTCACAGCAAATCGAATTGATTTTGGGCGAAAGTTTCTTTTCTTTTGAATGAAGTTGATTCATGCTTAACTACGAAGTATTCAGTTCATTTTGCTTTCTCTTACTTCGATGACTTCAAATCATATTCTATCCTATTAAGTCAATATCTTTAAAATGATTCTTCACAAGTAGAATTATACAGTTTATTCAATAGATATTCGGTTAACAATATCAATATACACTAATTTTGACATTTGCTTCTTAAAAATCTTATCTTAATTATCGTCTAACAATATTAATAACCGAAAAAGATTTTTCTCCATCATATTAATTTATCACTTGTAATTGATAGTGAAGCATATTCACTTCAATTAACTCGTTGATCTTATTTACCTCATTTGAGAACTTTGTGTACCAGTGATATCTATAATCATGATAATCTTTTACTTTTTCTTTTACTTCATGCAGCTTCACGCATTTATGTCATCATCAAATCAAACGAAAGACTGGTTCCGATAAGTGTCAATGAGTTGTTTGAACACATGCAAAGCTTTACAAAGATACATCATTATTATTGGAGTACACATTAGAATTACGTGATTGTAAATGAATTGTATCGAAGATACACTTGTCTTTATTTAGTTATAGGTAAAAGTAAAGTCATTTTTCAAAAAAAGAAACTCCTATGAAAATACAAACAAATTTAAATTCGCAGAAATTTTCAGCCTCAATAAAATAGACAATAAAAAAAGCATTTAGTTTAATACTTTAGCAGCTATATTATCGACACATACATATGTAACACAGTTATGTATATCATTTAAAATAATTTTGAAATTGTGAGTTCTACAATAGAAATTTCATAATCGATCATCATTCATTGAGATGTTAGTATATAAAATTGTTTTTTTTTTCATTTGATATAAAAAGATCATTCTAAAATAATCCTATCAATTCATCTCAGAATATATCACATTCAGAAATACATTGGAATAATTTTGAATCGGAAAAATCTTAACAATAAAAGAACGTACAATCATATAATGAAATTATCTCGTTAAATCGAGCAGTTCTGATAGGTCTAGATTTACTCGACAAGTGTTTTATTTGATTCGTTGTCATGAATAGAAATCGTCACGACCGTAATCGTTACTTACAAAATTTTTATTAATTATATTAGTTCAATCTGTTATAAAGCGGCTACTAATACTGATTTTATGCAGAGGCAGATTCATTCGTGTTGTTAAAGTTCTTCTTTACTTAACGAACAAAATGAAAATAAAATAATGAAATAAATTGTAGAGTCAGTAGTCCTAATTCTGCCGGAAAAAAAATTGAGCTTGCAGTGATTGATTTATAATTCTGCTAATTATTGTCATGTGAAACTAATGATTATTTTCCTGAATAGAGCGAACATTTTTGCGTCGATCAATGTGTGTTTGATCATACAGTAAATAGTTTCGGCTTCATAAGAACCGTAAGAAAAGGATTCCTTTTGACATATAAATGGAAGAACGAGAAACAAAAAATACCTCCATCGACATAATTAGGAACAGTCGAAAAATTGAAAAAAATTCGATTCCACTCATATTCTTATGAAACTGAGACTCTTTGCTATATGATCAAACATATATTGATCGACACAAAAATGTTCACTCTAATCAAGAAAATAATCATTAGTTTCACACGATAATAATTAGCGGAATTATAAGTCAATTAGTGCAAGGTCAATTTTTTTTTCGGCAAAATTAGAACCACTGACTCTTACATTTTGTTTGCAAACTGAAAGCTGAAATCAAGAATGTATTAGCTGAATGTATTGTTCTTTCTGGTATAGGTCACTTGAAACGACTGCTAACAGGCCAGATTTTATTAATCTCGTCGAATGTGTTCTTGCTGTTTACCGTACTCTCATCTATCGTTAGTGTATCTGATTTTATTAGAGCAAGATTTTAAAAGAAGAGTAAGAGTTAGCTATTAATATTGAAAATTTTCGTGAGATGAATCGTTGAACAAAATAGTATTCTATCAACGAAAATGAAAATTTACTTGTCATTGTGAAGATTTCTACAGGTTACAACAGATTATTTTAAGACAATTTTTTCTCGATCCATAGATTTGCAAAACATATGTTGTTAATTATTGTTCGAGGGATTATTTGAATGGAAATTTCATTTTGACAATTGCTTGAAAAGTACTCGAAGGGGAGCTTAAACAAGGAAGAAACTGATGATGATATGCTACTCATCCTCACTTTCAAAGTTTCAAAACTACAAAACTAGATTTGATTGTTTATAGAGATATCTATTGAAATGGACACACGCTGAGAAGTGAATAGATAGTTCACTTCAAACAATTTTAATCTTTTCCATACAGTTGTCTTAATGAATCGTTTGATTTTTCAATATGTATTATTCTTCTATTTTATCTATCAGACAATGAAACAATACTCAACTAACGTCGTGATGAGTGTCCTTCTTTGTTGTCTTCAGATATACTGACAGTTTAAACTGTTATAGTAACTTTTTACGTCAAAAACTGCTCTGTCCTTTTATAAAGTCTATCTTACAAATTTTTTCTTAAAAATCCTTCTTTTCTTTACATGATCATTCATTTACATCATTCAGTGAATTTGTAAAAGTTCAGTTAAAATTCATTAGCAGATTTTAATAAAATGAAAAAAAGTTTTTATTATCTTTTATATGATGTTTCTTAAATGACAAAATACAACAATTTTATATATCTACTCTAAGATAAATTTTATTTTGTAACAGATATAAATTAAAATTTAAGAAAAATCTCTTCCACCATTAACTAAAATATTTTGTCCAGTAATATAGTCAGAATCTTTGCTTGCAAGAAATGAAACCAAGTTTGCGACATCATCTGGATATCCTACGCGACCAAGTGGAATCGTTTTTACAGCATCATTTACAATATCTTCCACTGTCTTTCCTTGAAGTTTTGCAAATTCTTCATTAGATTTGTCAGACAACGATGTCTTAATGAATCCTGATAAAATTTCATAGATTTAATATTCAAAAGAAAAAAATATAAAACATACCTGGACCATAAGCATTAACTGTAATATTGTATGGAGCCCATTCTATAGCAGCAGCTTGTGTTAAACCTCGTATACCCCATTTTGTAGTACAATAAGGGCCGATCATTGCACATGCTTTATATGCAACAGAACTACCAGCACCAATAATTTTTCCTCCTCTACCTTGTTTAATCATAATTTTAGCTGCTTCTTTATAACAAAGAAATACTCCACGCATGTTTACTGCGAAAACTCTATCCCATTCTTCTACAGTTGTATCTAAGAGCGATTTTACATCACCAATTCCGGCATTTGCGACTACTACCTGTAGAATTAATTATAAAGAAGAAAGGTAAAGTGATCGAAAAGAATGAAAAGTACATACGTCTAGACTTCCTAATTTTTGTGCAGCCTCTTCCATCATTTTTTCGACTGATTTACTATCAGAAACATCAGCAGTTATAGCGATCGATTTTCGACCAATTTCTTCGATTTCTTGTTGAACTTTTTGAAGATCAGAAGAGCTTGCTTCTATATCATTAACAGCAACATTGAAACCATCTTTAGCAAGGCGAAGAGCAATTGCACGTCCTATTCCTCGAGCAGCACCAGTCACCAAAGCAACACGATTCATTTTCAATAGTAAGCAGTAAAAATAAATAAAGGCAGTTACTTCAATAAATCTCTCCTTCGTTCTTCTAGAATTTTCTTTTTCTCTTTCTTTTTCTTCTCTAGGGTTATTACAATGCGATAGTGGGTTGATAAGACGGTGAGAGCCAGTAAAAATGGCTTTCTCTTGTTCTCTTATTTTGACCTACTATCGAATTTTGATATGAACAGAAAAGAAAAAGAAAGAAACTAAGGTATATATGTAATCTAGTATATTTTATTCTTTATCAATAAAGTCTGAAGAAGACAATATCGTCTGCTGAAACGTCACAAAAATGAAAAAGAATCTTTTACAAAAATCAAGACGACATTCATTCAAATATAAACAAACTACTGACTTAAGCCCTATTTTTATCTTACATATTTTATTACTCATATATCCTACACATGCGTATATATAAAAGGTCAAGAACGATAAAAGAAAAAAAAATCAATCATGCGAAACTAAACATTAGTTATACAATTAGAAGAGAAATGAATAGAAAAATCATACGCTTCTTTCTAGCTGTTCTGTCTCATTAAGCTTCAGGAGTGTTCTAATATCAATGCATGTCTTACTAGGTATCCATTTATCTTGTAGTTCTTCGTTCGAGCTTAGCAATGTCATTGCGACCAAATTTAGACTAAACTTCTCACTCAAAGTATGAATCTGTCATTCCCGTTATATAAGATAATATTTCAACAAGGATCATTAAATATTCTTGCTATTTCATCTTGACGGTTTAATATATTCATTGAAAAGAAAAAGAGAAAAATAATAAAAATGAAATGTTAGATATTTAAGGAAATTTTGTTGTGAATTAAAGTCCTGCAACCCAACCCGTAGGCGAGGCGAGCGCGAGTTGGAATGCAAAAAAATATCAGTTTTGTTTCGAATTCATTTTAATCCAATCTTGTGCTTTTTGTTTATTTTTCAATAATTGATCTAAAAATTAATGTGTGATAAAGCATCGGTTCATGCTATCTATACAATCCTGGACAATATTTTTTGGATGATTTTGTTTTGAGTATAACTCTGTCATAACGTGGTCTTTTGACGAGCGGCTTTCATCAAAAGTACAATTAAGATCTATATTATATCCATAGAAAATTTCAGTGTTCCACGCTTAGTTATAGTGAAACTGGAAGTATAACAACTTGAATGACTCAACTTTTCCTGGACGATCTTCTAAATTGAGTTATTGTCTCCATATAAGTTTTAAAAAAACTTAAATCCATGTAAATTGAAAGAGGAGAAGACGTGCTACATTTTGATATATAAATATTTTTAAAACCAACTTTTATATGAGATTTTATGAATTCTCTATGAAAAAGTTGATATACAGTTAATGCCAACTCTTTATACATATCCTGTAGAGGGTAAATTTTTTTTCTAAATATGAAAACCGAAAAAGCGTGAGACGCTCCACATTGTGGAAGTCGTTCTAGACTTTAACTAAATAACTTTAATAGTATTTTGTATCACTTTTCAGAAAATCCCTTCAGTTTTTGTGACCCTCTTTCGATTTTCATATTTAGAAAAGAAATTTAGCATGTACAGAATATGCATAAAGAGTTGGCATTAACTGTATGTCAACTTTTTCATAAAGTATTCATAAAATCTCATATAAAAGTTGGTTTTAAAAACATTTATATATCAAAATGTAGCGCGTCACATCTCCTGTTTCCATTTACATGGATTTAGGGGTGTGGGTGTGGGTGGGGTGTGGGTGTGGGTGGGTGGGTGTGGGTGTGGGTGTGTGGTGGCTGGGTGTTGGTGTGGGTGTGCGGAGTGTGGGTGTAGGTGTGGAGTGTGGGTGCGGACGTGGGTGTGGAGTGTGGGTGCGGGTGTGGGTGTGGGGTGTGTGGGTGTGGGTGTGGGTGTGGATGTGCGGGTATGGGGTCTGTGTGTGAGGTATGGGTGTGAGTGTAGGTGTGGATGTGGGTGTTGATCACTTCTCTTCTCACACCCACATCTACACTCCATATCCTTAAGCGTAGAATCATAAACCCTTTTCCTTGATTTTCAAGGTGATAAGTCCTTTTTATTTTTATATACCCTTGCTTTCGTAAACCCTTCGGCTCATAAACCCTTGAAGAGTATATGACGATCTCATAAACCGTTTAAGGATTTATGAAAAGTGACACATAGGGCAAGAGTTTAATATTCTACTCTTTTTTTACAGTGCAGGCAAATTTTAAGATCCTAAAGTTTTGATTGCATATTTAAGTAGTAACAGGTTAGTAGTCTTTGAGACAAAAAATCAGCAAATTCTATCATGCTGATCTGGAGAAAGCCTATCATGAAGATAGGCTCTTTTTGACCCTGATATATAGGGAAATCAGTGGTGACCTCAAAAATTCAGTCGTTCTTTTTGAAGATATGGATATTATTGAATATGATGGTTGCATTCCACACAGAGATGGACAAGTCAAGTCAAAAATGACTTAAGTCAAGTCATTTTTGACTTGGTTTGACTTGACTTGAAGAAGGGTGAGATGACCTGCGACTTGACTGTGACTGGCGACCGTCTTTTTTTTGACTGACTGGTGACTTGGTCTGACTTGACTTGACTTGTGACTTGCCGAAAAAATGCAAGTCAAGTAAAATATATTCTTGTGGTTATATTGTATATTAGATTTAAGAAGCCTGAAGTTATCCTTTTTTCCTATTGTGAACTTTTTCACTTTTATCGTAGCTAGTACGTATAAAATCTCCATCTTCTGTTTATGATAAATATGAATAATTGTTATCGAATAGGTAAAATACATAACATTGTTATTAGTAGTGATATAACCAATGATAACAATTTAAGATGATTCGTGCATTGTCCATTTTATTAAATCTAGTTAAATTTATCTCCACATTTATTGAGATTAACATGACTGAAGTGCCGTCACAAAATGATTATGATTATGATATTTCACATGATTCTAGAAATGTATCTGTATTATCATCTGGGTCAGCGCTTTCTTCCAAAATGTCAAGAAAGACATTTAAAATGTTAAACATCTTAAGATGTAATCAAGGATTAATTTAATTATTCTATAAAGGAATTGATACAGGATAAAATTAGAAAATTTTAAAGCAACTGAACTTGTGACTTGAGACTCGACGCAAGACGAGGTTTGACTTTGTCATATGACTTGACTTTAAGACACGACTTGACTTGACTTGACTTGGGTAGGTTGGAGACGTGACTTGATTTAAGTTGAAATCGTTTGCTTCCTATCCATGACTTGACTCGACTTGACTTCAAAGTTTTGATCTTTTAGGAATGACTTGACTTGACCAGGGTGACAAAAAACGCGACTTGCTCATCTCTGGTTCCACATCTCAAAATGTATATCTGGTCAACATTTCAGAGCTGTATCGCGAACTGGTGACAAGATGTCGTCAATTTAGCTTGCACAAGAGATTGATCAAAAATTTCTCATATTAACAAAAGTCTATTTTGAGGGCTATTAGTTGGATAAGCGTATCTCAGTCAAAGCTCAACCTTTTAATCTAAAAGTTTGGTTCTATACCTAAAAAAAATTTGCTTTACTAAATGGGATAACTTTCATCAACATCTGACACTATTGGTTGAGCAGCTATATTGGCATTCGGTCGTCTCTCTCGTGTAGTGACTCCTATATATATCAATATTCAGTAAAATGAATGCAATTACATAATAAGTTCAAACTATTTATCAATCGATTTGAGCGCCAAACAGTATGCCTCCGTAGAATTAAACTAACTTTAAAAGGGTGTCTTCTCACATCGACATTATTTAATTTCATGAACCATTCCAACATTGAATGTGTCAGTGAAGACAACAGAATCTCATATATTTGTCATCCCAACAAGTGTATAGATCATAGCCGTCTATAAGCCCACCTTGAAACCAGTACCGAACAGGGTGGTTACTGATTTGGTCCGGTTGAACTTTTCAAACTGCCTGCGTTTCATCAGTTTTTTGTCGGTTTTTTATTACTTTTTAAAGTACCAAAGTTAGTAAGGTGCAGGCAATTCAAACTTCGAGTAAAAA